AACAAGGGACCAAGTTCCCACAAGTAAAACTCTTAATCTAGATCATGGTCTTCAGCCACAGTCCTGCATTGGAGGCATGATTATCCTGCTTACTAAGAGCAACCTTGGCCCATGCAGACCATCAAATAATTCTCCAAAATCTATGGGGTCTACAAAACACGCCACATACTCTAAAGGGGTGGACTACAGGATATCCTATTGTATACCCAACAGCTGGCCATTACAGAAGAGGGATGAAACCACAGGTCTTCCTAGTCTCCACTTGTTTGGAATAATAAACAGCAGCATTTTACCCTCTGTCACCGGAATTTCAATTAGCCATATTGATAGACACACAAAATTTGATAACCTCCAAGACCCTCTTCCTCCCTGCATGCCCAGAGCAAGACTGTGTAATTACATTGCCAAAACCTGGCCCATAATGCATTTCATTCAGCTATAGCTGTCGCATTAAACAATTATAACCTTTTGCAATATGGCAACTACTTCATAAGCAGTACCAAAGTTATAGCAATAAAGCAATAGTGACGTTCATATTAGATTTGCTTCCTGACTACATTAAACCTAATTATATTCCTTTTTAATACCCCAGACCATTTTAAGGACACATAATGACTGTCATGAACATATTTCGTGTCTCATGAATGAGCTTTTACAGTAATGACAGCTTAACTTACATATCTAAAACATGCACATTAGAATAGAAAAGCATCTCTTAAATGAAAAAGCATATGTATGCATAAATATATTAAAAAGTGTATCCATATAAAATGAAAAGGCATATTATACAGAAATCTACACATAGTCATTAAACAGAGAATAGATGGAAAAATTTGCAATTCATTTTGTCTGAACTGCATCTTTTCAACTTGGTATGGGGTTAGCTTTACATCTCTTCCTGTTGTGCAGCTCTCTCACAACTGTTACACATACAGAACTTGCAAGTGTAAACCATGCTCTGACTTGCTCTCCTCAAGCCTCACCTTTGACAGTTGAAACTTTGCAGTAGATAGGATTAATTTTGATCCTGGTATTAAATCATTTAATAGGCCAGGAATCAGAAAATTTATTCCACCTTTTGTTGGTATGATTTTAATGCATTTTATAGGTAAAACAGATTATTTGGGAGCACCAAGGCGGAAGAGAATTCCTAAAGCCCACAGAGGGGATGCATGTTATTTTCCTGCCACAGAACCTAAGAGCTCTTGCTGCCTACTGTATGGCAGAAATTATCAACAAGGCAGTGGATGCTCCCCTATATTGATTCAAGAGAAACATCAGTGAAGATTCAAGAAGTGTAAGCATTGCTTAGTTTGAAGGTGGAATAAATCCCATAAATATATGCTTTGTCATGGGATGGCTAAGGGAGAGAGGTAATTTCTTGCCCCACAATTAGCTGGATTTCAAGGAGGTGCCAGGATTTGAGATGCAGGAAGCTTACAGATGTCTGTTGCACTAGATGTATAGTAGCAGTCTCAGAAACACAATTTCACATTTGCATTACATTAAACACTTGGGAAGCTCTTGCTGGAGGGACAAGAAGCTCCTTTCATTTGAAAGCTCATTATCAGTAGAAACTGATAAGCAAGCTTCCTTCTCATAAAGGACGAAAATTTGACATGAGTGAAATTATTTGTTAGATGTCTCTATGTGCATGCTAGTGTGCAAGAGAAAGGAAGCACAGCACTGCTATCTTGGTAATATCAATCCTTAGGATTTATTTCTTTTAATCATTAAATTTCAAAGTACTACATGAACACAGATAATGTGATGTAACATGCGTTCTGTGATAGGCTTTAAACAAGAAAACAAATCACTGCCAGAGTCTGGAGTTGAACTAAGCATAAGAGAACCTCAGAAATCAGCTTACACAGACATCTTGGACAGTGCTTTAAACTCTCAACAATATGTTCTGTTTATTACACTGCAGTTGTCAGACTTGTAGATACAATGCCAGCCTGTATATTTTATAGGATGTTCTGGTTAGCCTATGGGTCACATTTTTCACAACTGCAATTCAGCATAATTTTTGCATCGG